GTCTCAGAAGCACCGAGTCCTCATGTCTGAAATACTGTCACCTGCTTTCAATTTCACTAAAAACCTTTGATTGGCTGGACAAATTTAACATTGACAGCAACCATGTAGTTGTACATCACACATGCTCATAAAAGCATTAACAGCTTAAAACCTGGACAGATGTTTTAATGTGAGGCCCAGTCTCCACAGTATGAACATCTGGCCGGTCTGGTAATTAGGTCTTCATTAATTCCAGAAACTCATCCAGCTGTTGCTTGAGCAAAGCCAGGATTGTGGCTTCAACAACATGGCTGGCCAGCCTATTCCACACCCCCGCCCCCCTCTGTGTACAGAAGTGCCCCCTGCTCTCAGCATTCCATGTGTTTCCTCACAGTTTCCACCTGAGCCTCTCCTGGTCCGTGATTCACTCTTGGTGCTGAAGAAGTCTGCTGGTTGACTTCACCTTAGTTTTCTTCGGCCCGTCGGCATGTGTGTGGTGTGCCGTGTGGCGAGTGAAGCTCCCCGCCTGTCGGTGTTAACGGTCACTGATCTCGACATGTCCTCCTTCGTGTTGCAGTGGAGGAGCCCCTGCCTGGGCCCCCGGAGCTCAGGCTGGTCCTGGTGGGCAAGACAGGCGTGGGGAAGAGCGCCTCGGGGAACACCCTGCTGGGGCGCCCGGCCTTCAGGTCTGTCCTGGGCTTCGCCTCGGTGACCGCGGGGTGCGAGAAGCAGCGGGGGTTGATCGCCGGGCGCAGCGTGGCGGTGGTGGACACGCCGGGCCTCTTCGACACCAAGCAGAGGGACGAGGACATCCGGCGGGAGATCGGGAAGTGCGTCAACCTCTCGTCGCCGGGGCCGCACGCCTTCCTGCTGGTGGTCAAGCCCGACCGCTTCACGCAGGAGGAGCGGCGCGCGGTGGAGAAGATCCAGGAGATTTTCGGTGGGGGGGCGTCCCGCTACGTCCTGGTCCTGTTCACCCGGGGCGACGAGCTGGGGGACACGAGCTTGGAGGAGTGCTTTGGGGAGGCCGGCGGTGACCTGCAGCAGCTGCTGGCTCAGTGCGGGGGCAGGTACCACGTGCTCAACAACAAGAGCCCGGAGGAGCGCGGCCAGGTCACCAGCCTGCTGGACAAGGTCGACGCCATGGTGACGGCCAACGGGGGCGGCTGCTACACCAACGACATGTACAGCGAGGTGGAGCGCATGATCCAGCACCGAGAGCGGCAGCTGAGGCACCAGTACGAGGCGGCGATGCGCCAGAAAGAGCA